ATACTATGTAATACATACATTAATTTTCTATTTTTAGTACAACTTGTGCACATGACTTTTGGTCTAAATTTTATACATTAGTGTAGGGTAGTTAGGCTATAGTATATGCTTAATTCAATGTGGTTATTTTAGTATCGCATAAAGTCTTTATTTGAGTATTAGAATAGCTAACCATATAAGAAAAGGGCTTTATTTTAATCTGACAGCGCATGCGTTTTTGATAATTATATATATATATATCTGGAACTAATTAATTGTATGTCTGCGTTAGTTTGAAATTAGTTTTAAAACAGTTTATAGTTTACATAACATCAGTGCAGTAAAGATGAATGGAGAAAGGCCTCTTAGTTCAAATAAAATTGGAAAAAATATCAAGGCGCTAAAGGGCAAATTTAGAAAAAATACATCACAGCTTTACCACCATTTGTTTTCAGGTGTAAATGAGATGTCTGTTTCTGAGTTAACCTAGAAGAATCCTCTAGCCAACCAAGTAATTAGCGATGATTCAGATCTGGTGGAAAAATTACCAGAACGATTGAAAGAGTCTTTTATGGTAAATTCTTCTTTTTTTATTATACAGGCATATGCGAAGTGCCTGGTTCTTCGAACCCTTCTGGCTAACGGCTGATATTTTTTGATCTTGACATCATTTAATTTATGCTATCATTAGAAACCAGTAGAAGATATAGTTCCTTCATCACTTTCACAAAATATACAGGAAAAATGCGAAGAATTTGTAGCTAGCTTTATTGAGAGTGATATGAATATTTTATCACAAAAACTTTCGCATAATGGTGAGTGGAAAGAATCAGATGAGGAGCTTGCAAAGGTCACATTAAGAATTTTGGATTCTCTAAATGATTCATGGAATAATCCTGCATTTAGTTCTGAGTTCGCGAAATCACAAAATGAAGGTACTTATGTAACAAACGTAATTGTACCTGCTATTCGAGTCACATTAAAAGGTTTTCCTTTAGGGAGGTTGTCTTATGTCAGCACATGAGTTATAATATAATATAATTAGGAAAAGTAATATTTCAAAAACTTATACCGTCACTAATGTTCTTTTCTATTAGTGTTGAACGCTAAAGTTCAGCTAGTACAGATAGAAAAGGTGAAGGGCGAACAGAAAGACGACCAGATATCATGTTTGTGATGAAGCATGATGAAAAAAATACGAGCTTATATATGTTGAAAGTTCACATTTGTCTTGCACATCACAGAAGGAAATTGATGATGAAATAAAATTATAGCGTGAAACTAATGATGAAATGTACTAGGTTCATAAATCATCTAGACTAGATAAAGGTGAATTCAGAATTATTGGAATGCAAGTTGCCGGACAAATAATGCGCTTAAATGTTCTCATTAGAGATATGAAAAATATTCATCGTTATTACCATCTTTACGAAGCAGAAATTTCTGTACAACCATCTGATCCATCTCTTGTAACAAATTTCATAAAGACTTTACTGATTTTACGGAATATTCTAATAGTTAATATGTCTTTACTACTTAACGTACCCTCAGTTAGATCTAAAAGAAATAAAGGCAATTCAAATGTAGATTCCGAATAGATAGGATTATATATGTAGTAAATTTATTATTATTTTTTCTGTATCATTAAAGTGGCCCTTGCGATCAATTTCGCAAATATACATTCATATTTTTATATGAGACATATATCAAATAATAAAATTTTCTTGGCAAATTTCAGCGACCTAAGGTCGCCCAAAATCACGTGAGATTTTTTTATTTTGAATGCTCATTCATATACAATGCATAGAAATATTTACGAAAATGGAATTTGAGCTTGACTCGCTTAGGCAAGAAAATGCTAGACTTATAACCAAGATTAGTGAGATTGAGAGTAAGAAGTTGGAGATAAAATGGGTGTTTGAGGCTAGAACTAATGAGTTACATAATACTATAGCAAAATTTACAACCAAGATTGGAAAACTTAATGCTAAAATAGTGGAGCTAAAGAAAAATAAGTCAGCTATTCCTAAACTCAAGTCTGAAAATGTTGAGCTTAGAGATAGAGTTAGAAAATTAGAGCAGGATTACAGGCAGATGCAAAATGACCTACCTGATATCTCCAGTACTCTTTTAAGCGTGAGTGAACAGAAGGTATTAGAAGAAATAAGTAATTGTTTGCTTAAACATCGATACCAGATGTACTACCTACCAATAAACCTGAATCCATTATAGCTCAGCCTGAGCAATATAATCCTAATGTGGAAGATACTTTCTTGGACGAGATATATAAGAAAAGCGTTAGTGATAGGATAAGGCAACGCAATAAAGAGAAAAAACAACTGTGTGAATAGACAGATATGAAAGTAGAGGCTTCTCAGCAAAAAAGTGAGCAGAGGCTAATTTGAGAAATGACTTCATCCAGAGAAGAGGATGAAAAACAGCCGAAAGGTGCTTCATATGCGACTGAAATTTCAGCAAGTATTGATCAGCTAAAACAGGATATTATCAGTCTTTACCAACACGAATGTGAAGCTGAAAAAGACGCAATCAAAGCCAATAGAGAAGAAATATTATGTTAGTGTTTCTATGCAAAAGAATTCAAAAATATGTATAAGGAATATATGGTCAGCAATAAAATTGGGGAAAAAAAGGTGAAGGGGCAAGTATATGATTATATTATCAAGCATCTCCCAAACATCAAGCTTAAAACCTTATGTAGGCAGACACAGAAAGCTTTAAGAATCGATAATTTATTTGATAAAATAGGTAAGGACAAGATTTATTATATCAAAACGTATAGTGCAGATACTATATCAAAATTTACTAATTCTCAGATTCAAATGATTATAGATCACTTCATCAAAAAATCTAATATAGAATTTGCCAATGATCCTAAAGAATAAGATAACTCTATTACCGATTCTGAAGAAGCATCAGAGATGCAAACGAAACCCTTAATTTTAGCTGAGGATTATGAAAATGTATATTTTGATAATGATCCCATACCTCAGTCAGTGAAAGAAACAAATAAAGAGGTTGATTTGCAATCAGATAGGGTAGATGATAATAGTGACTGACCGGAGGCACTAAAGCATAGTCATGACAATAATTCTGAAGAAGAAATGTTAGATGATTCAGATGATGAATATAATGAATACGGTAGATACAGTGGATGTGGTGGAGGTTATTATTATCGTGATAGAAGATATGAAAGGAAAGTCTTGCCAATGATGAGTCCTATTATATCTCCGGTATCCGCCTAAGAGAATTATTAGGTAGATTGTAAACTGAATTATCATATAGGTTTATTTTTTCAGCTGAATTGAGATCAGCAAATTAATAGACATTAGGGTTGCCATATTTGCTCCATGTTTTGTGATGATCGTAGCCAGAATTGCGAAATTAGAAGATAATCAAGCACAGAACGAATTAATAAAAAATTTAATATTTGTACTGCAAAATACGTGATCTTGTATTACTAGCAGATTTTTCACGACATTGGCGCGTAAATTTTGTCTTACTCAATAGTTTTGAGGAAAAATTCTTCTCATTAGTTGGGGATACTTTTTTTCCTTGTACTTCTGTAAAGTAAAATCTCAGTCAAGATCATGTATTTTTTAAGGATCTATATAAATCAAAGGTTCACCCATTCTCTTTTATAATTACGAAAAAAGAATATCATTTAGCAGTTCTCATCCAAGGCAGAGAAGAACATGTGAAGAATATAAAGCTGAGCTGGAGGAAGAAAACTTTCATCTTCGAGATGCATTACAGACAGAAGTAGAAAATAATTACCTGAATGAGAAACAGTTTAATAAACTGGAGCAAGATTATTCCCAGTATGAACAAGAAATCCAAAATCTCAATAAAGACATAGAGCGTCTTGAGAATGCTTCAGAAAAAGAGATAGCAGAGCTAAGATCTGAAATCTTCAGTCTAAAAAGTCAGCTATATCAAGCTAGGAAAGATGTGCGAGATAAGGAACAATATATCTCTACTTTAGAAGAGC